CCAACCAAAGTTTCTGTAATACAATTCTTGGTTTTTCGGTTAAAAAAAAATATAATACTGCTACAGTTTTTTATACTTAAGCATAATAAATCAAGACTGTCTCGTTTCGATTTGAGGCGTTTTAATTTTCAACTTGATAATCATTCTTAACCAGATGACACTGGTAAAATAATAACAAACTGCCACATTTTTTTATTACGGCTTATAACATATTTAAAATGGTAAATAGGCACAACAAACAAATTTGGCAGTTTGGTTTGTTATAACCTATTGCTAAATAGCAGTAACCTCAAATTGTGGTGTCTGGCTGAGATTTAACTAAGTAGCTTTTCTAATATCTACCTATCTAATATTATCCATATTCCTACAACTGGTCTTAGAACACCTAAAAATATCTACATCCGGTCATGAATAATGTTACTATATTATTTTTATATACAAAATTAAAAACCTTCATCATTACTTTTCTAAATAATTGTATATTCACTTTCTTAAACGGGAAAACGTATTGAAAACACGTTCTAAGTTGTATTATTTATTTGAAATAAGAAAACTACTTGTTTTTATTTGTTATTTTGTATGCTTGTTCAAACAGTTACAGTCACACACCAATGTCCTAAATAAGAAAATATTCGAAAACAAAAACAACATAATTTATTATCGACCTAGTTATATTATTTGAAGTTTCCAACGTTAAAACGGTTTTTATTACTATTATATTTTGAGTCCATACATTTTTTTCTTGAGTAATTAAAATTGTAGGGCAGTTGTCAGTATTCCGAAATCAGTTTTATAAATGTATAGAAAAATATATATATTTTAACACTTACAGAATACATTCCATCTCTTATGGAATATTTATAAATGTTTGGATAATAATGTGGATTATACAAATATTGTGATATAACATACATGCTAAATTAGGCATTTTATACAAATTAGGAAATATCAATTGCTCAACGACTACCTTGAAGGTATTGAATGCATGTTATACGAGTATTATGGAAGTCGATTGTTGAATAACTGTTTCATTTACATTACAAAGACAAACTTGAACAAATAAAATAGGATTTAAACACAATATTAAATGAAATATCATTAGTCGATTTCTACATTAACTTAGAAAGCTGACCGATTAATTCAAATATTTTTTCAGAATTCAAATCTAACCATCCTGAGTTGGTGTAATTATGTCAGGCTTCTAGGCCTAAAATGTCCGAAAACAGGTCACTTCAACCCCCCCTCAAAACCTATTCACTGGATTCAAACTTATAATTTTTACAACAGTTTTTGGCTACCATAAATTCTGACTTAAGAGCATTTTCTTCAATATCTAATAAGTAAGCATGCTGTTCCCAATACACGTTCAATCAAGATTGTCAATACATTATTTTCACTTCAAATTATCTATTTGTATCATAACCCTTTTTTGTGACACACGAAAACCTCTAAAAAGTAAAACATTTTTTAAAAATAATTTTCAGTTAATAGAAAATACGGTACATTTTTTTATGTAGCCTCTGAGCTACTAGGGAGGGTCTTCTAGAAATTGGTTCTCCCTCCCTTAATTACACCTATGGATTTGTATGGAAAAAATCGCCTTCGATGATGTATCTAACCTATGTTTTCAAACAGGGTTTTGAACCCAATTTGTATTTGAATTTCACAGTAATAGTTTTTAAAACCGAATTTGAGTAGATTGAACAATTTACCAACACGACGTAAACCGCTTTAAAATGTGTATGTATATAAACAGCTATACTAAGTATTATATCTACTCGTATGCTAGAAAATGTGTCAATATTTTAGTAATCTTCAGTAAAAAAATACTCATACATAAATATACACATGAATATCTTAAAAAGGCGTTTGCATAGTATGTTCTTTTCCGAATTCCAGCAAGTATGATAATAATTCCAACCATTGCATCAACCTCTTACCTAACCTAGCCGGTTGTTTTTTAAATTGTTCTCATTTGGCAATACAAAATATAAACAGATATTTTATCGAGCGTTTCAATTTTAAAATCTATTCATTTGCTGTGGAAACGAAATTGTTTTTGTATTTTCTACTATTGTTTTCGTTGTAACTGTTCTTATTTGTACAAATATTTCATATGCGAAAATATTTCACTAAAATGCAACTTATTTGTATTTTGTTCCATATAGGTCGGTACTATTAGTTTTTATAACTTTATTTGAATTGTTGTTTTCAGTTTTACACTGTATTTTTTGTCCCTGCAAATTATTTTTCTGTTCGAATACAATATATAAAACCATTTTTACTTCTAATAGATTTACAATATACAGTATACCTTGGTTACATCTACTTTAGGTCTAATTTTAATTCCTAAACCTCGGTTAGGAAAAAAAACAAATAAAGAAAAATGTTCAGCCGCTTTTATGGAAAAAGATCAATTAATCCCACTTTTTTTCAAAACGAATATGCTTTGCTTAAAAATTAATTTAATATATTATAAGTCAGCGCTTAATTATCAAAATGTAATATATAATAGATATATATTTTTTTTTTTAAAGCTCAGAGCATATTAGGGAGCAATCACAATTATTCCAGAACTACAATAATTGAATGTCTTAATAAACTTCAAAAATAGATATATTTTTTCGTTTTTTTTCTACACTACTTTCGCATATTAATTACACAAAATAACAATTATAAGTTTTTGTGCCATAAAAATTGTATAAAGTCACCTGCTATAAAACATTGTTTTAACACAACAAAGTTATCGTCTAATTATAATTTATAGTAAACAATATTTATTCATTTTGGCAATATAATAATTTTGTAATGACCTGCTTTGCGGCCAATAACAAATCGTTATCACGTGTTGTCATTTTCTTATATTACACATGGACCTTATAATTTGCACATGGTATGTAACAATTTATCATACATTGGGGCAAGTTGTACCATTTTGACTTGGTAACTAAAACATTTTCTTTGTTATTCAAAATTTGAATACATAAATTTGTACGTATAAAGGTAGCTATTAAGTTAAAATGTACTAACATTCATTTAGAAAATAATTTAGAAAATATCAAAAGTGTAACAACCAACCCTACTCACCCCCGTACTAAAATCAAATGAAAAGCTTTATTTGATCACGATTTAGTAGAAAGTCGACTATATTCCTTAAATGTTAAGGTATATCTACAGCTGAAGAAACCAAACTTTAAGCTGGTCAAAGATTAAAAAAAAAAAACTGTATCGTTATTAGTTCTATTAACCATGAAGTTACAGTATACAATAATAATTGGGTACTGAACAAATAAGAGCTAATATGGTTATCAGAAATGAATGAACGTTCATTTAGATAACTATATTTCTTTAAGTACATTTTGTACATAATAAGGGTATAAATATTAAAAAGTTGCCCAAATTTGTCCCGTTTTAAATTACTAATAAAATTATAGTAATACCTACACGAGTGCTTCTAAAAACAACATTGTTTTTAATACAAATTTCTGGCTTAATAACTACGTATTTTTAGTGTAAAGGTAAACAATATATTAATTATAAATTGTGACTTACTTCCTGATGTATAGAATATTAATTATTATTTCAAAATTTACTACAACTTTAAATACTTAAACCCACTTTTTACATATTATATTTATCTGGAGGATACCTTACTAAATAATTAATATGTTGTTTAACCATACATCTCCTTGTACAACTATCAACTTTCAAATCAGCTTTGCTGATTTCATTCACTGTAAAAATAATTTAAACGCGTCATAGCTAACAAATATTAAAAAATGAATTGCCATTTAGGTTGTTTGTAAAAACGCGATCCTAATTTTAATCTTAACGACTAACGAATAAATGCTTCAGTACCTATATACAGTTAATGTATAATTTATGAGTTTGTTTTTTATCTATAAAAGTCGCTCCAAAACTAAGACTACTTAGACTAAAATAAAACATTATTTTACAAGAACGATTTGAGTCATGTCACAAACGACCGTCAAAACTTTAAGTAAAAATTATACAGCTTTATTACTTTGAACTTACATTGAATACTTATGGTTTTTATTTACATATAGAACTTTTTAATAATTACATGTTAATTATTATCAATTTTATGAATTGGCCGATTAAAATATTGTTAATTTTATATTTACAATCAATGCTCTTGACTATTGCATTTTACACAGTTGCTCATATTCTATTCATTCTCTGATTCAAAACATAATACATTTTAATTAACACATATTATTATGATAGAATGGTCCGATAAAATCTATAATATCCATCTCGTTTTTTAAGCTATTTTTAATTTAACGCATGTGGTATGTGTGGTATCGATGATAATAACTGTAACCTTGTTATGTGTATGATTATCTTTATTGTAATAATTATCTTAACTATTGTCTTTATCGTTGTCGTTAACTTTACTGCTATTATAATTTCTATCATTATTATGATTAATATCTTCTTATCTGTTAATCACAAAGAGAGTTTGTAGTCATTAAATACTGCGGGGGTGACGGACTACAGATAACTAACCAATAACCTTTGTCGATGTCACACACACGCATACAATTTTTCTTACATATATAAACATAAAATGGATTCGAAAAATGTGTTTCGATTAGATAATTGTTCATTTTTATAGATAACTATAATCAACCTTAAATTGAAATAATAACAAATACTGTCGTCTGTAAACCGATGACATTTTTTACACTTGTAATAGCATATTGAATCCAATCATAATGAATAAATTGAAATAATATAAAAAATTCAAATACCCAACAAATGTGTTTAAAATCGTGATGAAAACTGTTTATTATGAAATACATTTAAATAGCTAACAATTTTACAGGTATATTAGTGCGATATAAAACAAATTTCATATAATGAAAATAGGTTTCTGTAACATAATATGTATTTATTATTCATAAAAATAGATAATGTAAATATAATAATAAATATAATGCTGAGCTAACAGAAATTACAATTCTATGTTATCAAGTAATATCTTTTTGTGACTGTCCGGCCAATATTGATATACGCCAATCATAATATTTGTTGCGTAGAAAGTAAAATCTCCTTGTGCAGAAGTAAGTGTGCAATTATCATTAGTGTCAACACTTGCAGATTTCATAAATTTATGTGCTTGATGTTCTTGAAGCAATGAAGTTATGTATAATCCAATTAAAATGCAATTTTCAAGAGAATTGAATTTATAATGACCACCTGAAAACAGTTCTATAATATTAAATGTAGGTATTGAGATACTCAGACGATTGTATGGCCTGATGACGGTAACATTGCTGCCGAAATACGTATACGCCATAAACTATTAATTATGCGGTAAAGGGTATATTTATTATTTTGGCTTGTTAGGCTTTGTACATTTGTACATGAGAAAATAATACCATATACATGGTGTCCATATTGTAATTTTACAGCAATGTTACACAATATCAATACATTTTTTAAATTCCAATTCATTGATTTTTAATGATTATAAAAGAAAAATATCGATGTTTACCTGAAGGAAATTTTATTAAATTTCTAATATAAACTTTAACCATATCTCTTCTTGTCATACTATCAACTTTCAAATCAGCTTTGCTGATTTCCCTCACTGTAAAAATAATTAAATCGTGATGTATCTCACAAATATTAAAATAAATAATAATAAAAAAGTTAGTTGCTTGTGACATGATTTCATTACATTTGAATCTGTGTAGTTTGTACAATTTTACCATATTGTTGGGAACTTTTTAAATAATCACCACTTTCAATTCTAAGCAATGATGTTTTTGAATTTTAGCACTTTTGTCACTTAATTGTTTTACGAATGTCGTTTATATGAAAAGTTATGCTTTCCTTTGGTTGAAAGAACTAATTCAGAAGTGATTAAATTATATGATTTAATAATTGTAGTTATTTATTAATAATGGATATCTTTTTGTAAAGCAGACAAAGGCTAATAAGAACAAGAAAAAATCTGTTTAAAAATGTAATTGCCATACAGGTTGTTTGTAAAAACGCGATCCTATTTTTAATCTTAATGCTACTAACTACTATCGAATAAATGCTTCAATACCTAGAGTTTCAGCAGCAGGCACCGACTTGATACCTGTAACAACAATTGTATATAAGCATACAGATAATATATAATTTAATGTTCGTTTCTTATCTATATAAGTCACTTCGAAACTAAGATTACTTAGACCAAAACAAAACATTGTAAAATGTTGCATGAACTTTAAACTGTTCTAGTAGAATAATTTAAATTAACGATTTAAGTTATGTCACAAACGACCGTTAGTACTTTAAGCAAAAAATATACAGCTTTATTACTTTGAACTTAAATTGAGTGCTTATGGTTTTTATTTACATATAAAACTTTGTAAAATTTACATCATAATAATTATTATCAACTTTGTAAATTGACCGATTAAAATATTGTTAATTTTTATATTTACAATCAATGCTCTTGACTATTGCATTTTGCACAGTATGCTCATATTCTATGCATTCTATAATTCAAAACAAAATACATTTTAATTAACATATATTATTACAATAGAAATCAAAATATATATAGATATTTTCCTAATTTTTTCAGATTTGTTGACATCCCTTAATCCTTTGTATATATAGTCATTTACATTTCAGTTGAGAGCATGATTAGGATAATTCTTATCAAGGAACACAGACGAATCTAATATTGAATATTTGATAAGTTTATAGTATGGAGTTTTGCATGAGATAACTGGTAGTAAGATCAGTTTAGAAATTGGTTATCAACTGATTATGCTCAAAAATTACTATTCTGCTCAAAAAGTTGGTCATTAGAGACTTTTAGATTTCGAAAGGGTTCGTTAAAAAAAAACTAAAAAATGATCCAAAATTCAAAATGGCCCACTTACGGTCACAAACACTTTTCTTTTTAATAGATACAGTGTATTTTTTGTTCACCAAAATAAAGTTCTCATACAAACTTGTGTTGGAAAAATTGTTCGACAAAATTTATAGTATCCATCTCGTTTATTACTTTTTTTTAGTTTTATTAATTTAATTTAACGCATGTGGTATGTGTGGTATCTATGGTAATAACTGTAACCGCTATTATTATCGTTATCATTATCATAATTAATATCCTCTTATCTATGTACCACAAAAAGGGTTTGTAGTCATTAAATACTGCGGGGGTGACGGACCACAGATAACTAACCTTTGTCAATGTCACACACAATTTACAACAGAAGTTACAACGGTTATCTCATACACCACGGTTACCACTCATGCCATGATTTCCATACATGCTTCACATACAACGGTTACTACACATAACATGCTTACCATAGATACCACACGTAATGAAATAAAATAATAGCTTAAGAAATGAGATGTAACTCATAAACCACTCTTATATAAATTATATTTTATAACCATATATATAATATTTTAAATATTACATATTAAGAATCTTTTATTAAATCGAAAAAATGTTATTTAGAAAGCTAAAATTGTTTTATATAGAAAAATTCCCCATGTAAATCTATAAAAATTACCAAAAACATTACTTATTTTTAAGTTAGGGGTTTGAATATTTAGGGATATCTTTTTTATAAAAGCTACTATTAATTTAAAAGGTGATCTGTTAGAAGGTTTTTTTTTAATGTATAGAACAAGTTAAAATGTAAGCCCAATAAAATTTCGAAGATAGATTTTTTTTGCGTCACCCTAATATGTATGTGTAAATTATTTTAATATTCCTTTGCGTAAACTACAATAAATATGATAATGAAATAATATATTACTAGATATATTTTCGACATTAGTGGCGGCTTGATCTGAAATTAAAAAAAAAAACTTAATGAATTTCAATTAATATAGTAGAAAGACTTCCATACATTTTAATAAAAAATATTACCTGGTACAGTCAACATATAAATATAATCCACTGAAATTATTATAACATACATAGATCATTAACTAAAACTGGATTATTTTATATTTTTATATTAATATTTTATTTAATAGAGTACAGAATTTATACATAAATTCGAGTAAATAAATATCGAAATATATATATATATATATATATATAGTATATATCAATTGCAAAATGTTGTACAAGCCACCGCTTGTGTGCAATCTAGTTAATTTATGTTAAAAAATTTAACACTTTTCGTTATTAGAAAAATCATTTTTCATGCTATAATATTTATTAAACACAATGCATAAATTCGGCACTCGAGACTGTTGCTCGTTCGATAAGCAATACACAGCCGAGTGGCTATAATAAAATAGCTGCACTGAAGCAGATGTGTGAAATACAATAAAATATAATGATTAGCTAAGTTTGACTATTATTTTTTATTTTATATATATAATTACCCATAGTATAACCCATACTATATTGCGTATTTTCATAGAAAATTGTTCTTATTGCATTTGGAACCCCACCTGGAATAAAGACATAATAGTTTGAGCTATACAAAAATAGTCAAATAAAATCCTAACAGATACCAATATCTTTAGAACAATAGTACAAGAAGTTTTAAGCTAGAACTATTTTACTGAACTTAAATCACTCTGTTGGTTACATAGTTATTTGTTACTACCTATAAGAAGTATGTTCTAAGTAAAGCATAGAAAATTTCACTTTAAGACGTCTCATAGGGTTCAATTACTAATAGGTTTGTTCTGTATATTTTTCATGCAATATGATCACAGTTTTTCACAATCTATGATCCCTTTACTAAAAATTGAACCGTTCTATAACCCGTTGAAATCATTTCTTTTAAAGTAATTGAAGTTTAAAATTAAGGTCGTGAGGTGTAGTACAGTAGAGTAATTTATGTAGATAGAAATATACATTTCCTTGTTCCGTGATACTCAACTCCAATAACTTAAAATGTTCCTTTATATGTATAAATAATTTAATCATCATAAGTTAAGTACTTACACCGTGTTACAAATAATAATACTATACATGTCGTGCACTCTTAATCTGAACACATTATTGAACAGACATTTTTAATTTATGAATTATATTTTAATATAAGAAATATATGTAATGAAAATATTATTATACATCATTAAAAAATATATATATATATATATTATCAAAATATTTAATTATATATACTTTACCCCGTACTTTATCAGCTTGCCTGATTAGTTCGTCTGTAATTTGAAATTTAAAACATGTATAACAACAAGATTAATTAGTTAAAAAACTTTAGTTAGTAATTAAAGTTATTTCGTATTAAAGGAATGTGTTACTTACTGGTAATGACAACTTCCATCTTATAATTATCTACCAATAAAAATATAATATGTAATTCGATTTTAAATTTACTCGTTTTGGAACGTGTAAAAAAAAATAATTACCTATAGTTTCCGCCAATATATTTGCAAAGGCAAAGGAAAACAAAACACAGTAAAGTTTCATTGTTAGCTGCAAATAATAATAACATAAAAGTCGCTTACATCAAACTGACACGCTACGACAATTAATTATTTTTTCCGATAATAGGTATCGTTCTTACAATTATAATGTTTTTAAAATGTTTATATTTCGTTTTTGTAACTGGAGCACGATATCTTCTGAACCGCTAAAATCGATATATTTATGTGGAAAGTCTACAAATAAGAAATCGTATCTAAAGAGTAATTGTGGGACCAAATTTAAACTAATTTATCTACCCTTTACAAAAATCGAGAAACAAATAATAAAAGTTTGCATGTTATTTTATTTAAAATTATTTGAAATTGTAAATTGTTGAAAAAATAGCCGAAAGAGACGATTATACTACAAGTTTGAAAGTATATATATTCAATAGTATATATTGACTATATTTCAAGAATTTCTTGCGGACCTTATTTTTTTATTTGCCCCTTAGGAGTAAATTTTGTTTAAAATAAATTATTCCTGTAATATGGAATTGCTATTAATTGAAAGTTTTAGTTAAACGGATTAAAAAATATCGCAGATCTATAGGTAAAACATTTTTAAAATATAAGACATTGTCATGCGGGGCTAGGTGCCCAAGGTTACCCATGTAAATAAATGAAGACAGCACTTGCTTTTATGATATAGAATTACTGATTTTGAATTATATATAATTTACAATCCTAGTATAAGACGTGGACCAGTACCAGAGTGAGTACAAGTGTATAACAAGACAACGACTGACTAAAGGGTATAATATTATAATATAATAGAATATTAAAAGGTTCTTAACACCCCCCCCCCCCCACTTAGATGAGAAATGGGGGTCCAATGAATCCCATTGACTCAATAAAAATAGAAACACATATTATATAATTCCAAAAAGATTTAGAACGATTTTGAGAGACCGGTAGCTTTAAACAAACTTTAATTGACTTTGATTCAGAGCTGTGTATTTGATATTTCTGTCGTATAAACTTTAATTTCCCTGGTCTTATACTTAGGTCTTAATTACAATTGTAATTTATATCATACAAATTAACAAGCATGTGTATGTCATTACAATACGATGACCAGGATCTAGACTAAATAATTGACTATTTGGAATTGTGGACACATTTGTGATTCTTGGGGATTCTTTGACTAATTTACAAAGGTCATAAAATAATTCGATATTTGTTATATGCTGTGGAATAATATCTTTAAGTAATCCTATGTACTTAGTAACTATGGTAAACATAGGATTTTGAGGGATTACATCTTGTGAATAGTTATAGTATACATTAGAAATGGGTGTTAGAATTGATGTTGTAGTATGAACTATACAGATGGGATATATAATTAGTCGACCAATGCCTTTTATACAAACAGAAAAGTCGCGTTGGGGAGATTTACAATTCAGTGTGACTAGTTTATCTCGCGTACAATATACAAGAATTGGTGTCCGATAATCGATTCCATAAGCTATTATCGAAGGATACATACTTGATTTGGTATGATTGAGGCAGTGTTTGGGGGTTTTCTAATAATATGATTTCACATAGATTTATTAGAAGAGGACTTATTGTAGATTGGTTGATTACCTTTACTATATAGTTTACGATTTAAGTTGTAAACAAGCTTCTTTGCGGTTGTCGCTCGCACGAATGTGTTGTGGGCCCCACTCAGGATTTTCCCTTGTCCCTATAGTATATATTGGTTGATCGCTCTC